CCGGCCCGCTCACAGCCTCGGTTTTCCGTGAGAGTTTGAGGGTTGGGACGCTGGCTCCGTAGGATGCCGACGAGGATGTAAAGTGGTTTTCTCGTTGAGAACACAAAAGAGGTTGCGGTTTAGTAGCCGCAGACGACCCACAGAAGCCCCGCGTGTACCCACGAGAGGCGTCTATGCGGGCTGGAGTCGGAATTGTGGATGTTTCCGCACTTGGGACCTTTGTAGATGTTTCAGCGCTGGGGCTGCTGCACACTAGGACGGATATGATTAAGAGAGCAAAGAGGTTCTTGTTTTACAAATCAGACCCCTTTCCCAGAGCGTTCCTCCGCCGCCGCCCACCCCCCACCCCCATGCGTGCAGCGGTGGGCGGTGGGCAGGAGTGGTAACTGCAAGGGAAATCATGACACCCGTTACCCCAAACAAGCCACAAACTGCTGCTCTGACCTCAGCCATCTGCAGTCACCCGGCGCTTGTGGATAGGTCCAGGTCTAAGCACCACGCTCCAGCACTCCTTCTGACAGCAGGCTCTTCAAGGGTCCACTGCTCCCATGAAGGACCAGACGGTACTGAGCATAGCTGTGGGTTTAGCCAAATTGCAGGAGTGTCTGGATGGACTGTGTAGTAATTTGGCAATAAGTATCCAGATCCTTAGTATGCTCACCTGACTTATGGCCACCCTGGCTCCCAGCAGCTAGCCCAAAGAAATTAGCTAGCTACCTGGGGCAGAAGGTAGCTAGGTACCTGTGCCTAGCTTTGCTTATTCGTCTTTCAAATTAAAATAAAAAGATTCCTAATTTATGAAGGAATTGATGGTCACACAGTAAAAGTTGGAAAATGCAGAAGCCTATAAAGGAAAATTGAGAGTGTCATCATCTCAGTGAGACTGTCATCACTGTTATTACTGGCATTTCCCCCAGGTGTTTTTTTGTGCTTGTACACACAATCACACACACACACACACACACACACACACACACACACACACATCATCAGCAGCATCATCATCACCATCACCATCAGACCATGTATACAGTAGTGTGAGGCATTATTTATAATAGTGCAGAAACTGGACACAACCTAATTATCCAACCATAGGCAATGAGGTCATCTGGACCATCTGTATAGTAGATTTTCAGGTGGTTTTTCATATTTGGTGGCAGTAGTTATGTGCAGTGTACAAAGACATTGTTTTTCCATCTAAACGTTACTTCTCAAATCCTCCAGTCCTATGGCCACAAGTAAGTGACAGGAAGCAAGAACCAGCAGGGTGGAGGCTGGAGTTAGAGGTGACCGCGAAAGATTAAGAGCAGTAAGTGATTGCCTCACTGAGAACCCCAGCCTAAAA